CTCCACGCTTTTCGCTCAGCAGTTTTTTTTAATCGTTCCACGCCAGCGCTTGGAACGCTGGAGGGAGGGGATGGTTTGGAGTCCGAGGGCACAAAAATCCGCCCAAACCGCCAGAATTCCAAAGGCCCCGTCCCGGGCTGGAGGCTTGGGCTTGGCTCTGCTTTGTGAGGTGTCCTTTTTGAAGGACTCTCCGCTCGCTCGGAGGGTTTTTTTGGGGGGAGGGGAAAGGGGGTCAGGGGATTGAGCAAACCCTAAAACTGCCGGGGCAGCGGCGAGGAAAGTCAGGCAGGGATGAATCAGCCATTGGGACCTGCCGGAGCTTCCCACGACCAGCTGGACCTATTTTTTGGGGGGGGTGGCTTGGCAGGAAAAGGGCTGTCAAAACTGGACCTATTTTTTTTGGGGCAGGAAAAGGGCTGTCAACCCCCCTGGGAGCTGCGTGCGGCATCCAGGGTGACAAACCCACTCCCACTCCCACGTTCCCCTCCGGGAAAGGTGGAGAGCGAACCCCCCCAGCACCGCATGGGGTGGAGATGAGGGGGCTGAGGGTGTTGTGGGGCGGGAGAGCCGGGGGTGTCACAGGTAAGGGGGGGAGCTCTGACGTGGGAGGGAGGGGGGAAAAAGCGGCTCCCTGCTCCTCTTTCCCAAGGAAACCGAGGATTAGGAGCGATCCCGCTCCACCTCCAGCGCTTGTGGGGGCGGTTTGTGGGACCCCCGCCCGGGAAACCAGCCCGGTGTCCCGGATTTTGGCCACTCCCTGGGATTTTTTTACCCCTCAGGTTCCCCTCCGGCCCGGGGACCTACTTGCACTTGAACTCCTGGACCAGGTCCCGCAGGCAGCGCTCCTCGTTCTCCAGCCTCTCCCTCTCGCCCATCACGCACTCCAGCTGCTTCCTGAGGTTGCAGATGAAGTTCTCGAAGACGGGCTCGAGGTTCCTGCGGGAGGCTGGCAGGACGTACTGCTGCAGCAGCTCCCACTTGGTGGTCAGCACCTTGTTCTGCTGCTCCAGCAGCCTCACCTGGGAGGGGGGGGGAGGGACGGGAGAGGTCGTGAGAGTTCAGAAAACCCCCCCCTTCTTGGTTTTTGGGGTTTTTTTCCCACTTGGAAAAGTGGGGGTGTGAAAAAAACCCCAACAATCCGAATTGCAAATGGTTCAGTGCAGCGAGAGCGGGACCGGCACCCACCCAGGACTCGAATCACAGGCTGAGCAACATCAAAATCCGTCACCAGACACCTTCCCCTCCTCTTGGAGGCTCCACGGCCCCCCTCGACGGGCCCAGGGCACAAAGGAGCCTCTCCCGAGCACCCAAATCTCCGTCCCGGATCTGGTTTGGGTGTAGCTGATTCGAGCTCCAAAACCGCGGGGACTTTCATGGTGCCTTTTCCCTGGCAGATTAAAGGCTCTGTCTCTCCCGGGAGAGAGAGCCTTGATGGGTCATGAATAAGTCATTTCTCCAGGGGGAGCTGCTCCTCCCGGGCCGGTTTGGTTTTTCCAGGTTTTTCAAGGGAAACCGGGAGCGGATCAGACGCAGCAAATTTGCTTTGGAAAAAAAAAAAAATCGTCTCCCAGAAACAGGTCCCTGAACAGGCAAACCCTTAAATTTAGCCAAGGGAACAATGATTAATTACGTGGTTGGTTTTTTTTTTGTTTTTTTTTTTGGGGGGTTTTTTTTTAGGAAATCATTCCCAGAGCGGAGGGACGGAGAAATTCAAATTATTCACCTGATTTTGGCTAAATCTGCCCTTCCCAATCTTGACGGGGCACAGATTTAGGAATGCAAAAGTCCTTTGAGGGTCGCACTTGGAATTAAAACTTCCTGGTTTTTCCTCTTTACGCTCCCTCTGCCTCCACCTCCTTCTCCCACGGCTCTGGATTCGCCGCATCCCTGGAGCTGCTCCCGGTGGAGCATCCCAAGGCACAGCCCCGGTGCGAGGCTTAAACCCAGAGCGTCCCCAGGTCAGGACCACCCCTGGTCCACCA